GTCTCGCTATGCAGTTCAGGCTGGCCTTGAGCTCACTTTGTAGCTCAGGCTGGTCTCGAACTCACAATGATCCTCCTGCAAGGCTTCTAAAATTAAAGACAAAAAAAATAAAATAAAATAAAATTAAAGACAAGGCCAAGACTATAGATTATCGAGGAAGGTTAATGATGTCATTCATCTACCCTTGCTACCACTGGATCAATATTACCTAAGCGACTATACTTGCAATCTTATTGGCTGATCATAATTTTGACCCACATTGTACCTGCCTTGTGGGTTTGCTCTATAGAATTTCCTTAGAGAGGTGGGCTCGTGGGAAACCCATTCGAGACCCCTCCTGTCTCTCAGGAGCTATTCCTATTCCCCATTCCCGTTCCTATTCTCCAATAAATTTTCCTTCTCTTAAAAAAAGACATAGGGTGTGTCAAATGTGATAAATTCTGTGCACCTTAAGGCAGAGGAAAAGGAACTGATCAGCCACTTCTGAAATTCAGTGTACTCTGTCTTTATCTTAGTTTTTCTTCAGTATCTATTTATTCTTTTTTCTCTGGGTGTGGGGACACCATTCTGTCTTGGCTTTCGTACTGGCTGTGTGTACAAGGGATCCTGCCTTAGCACTGAGAGACAGCACATTGTAATGGCTGAGGACAGACTCAAGCGAGATCCAAATCTTGGCTCACCATCTTAGGTACATGGTCCTGGAAGGTCCTGTTAACTCTGCCTGTCTCCTTGGCATCACATATGGGTGACTGGATTCGAGCCTTCCTCACTGACTTGCTGCAAGGACAGTGAGAGTTAAGCTTTGTAAAGCATCTAACATGGTGGCCTCCGTGTAATGCGTCTGTTATGGTTGATACATTGTGTCAACTTGGGGAGTCTAGAGGTTTGGCTAAGTGACTCAGCAGGAAGCCAGGATACTTACTTTGTATGCATCCTGAGCCTGTGGAAGAGGAGGGCATGGAGATTATGTGAGAGCTACACGCCCCTTAGGTGGGGGTGGCCTGTTTACAAAGTAAGGCAGGGAAAAAGAAGCTGCTTGCTGCCATTCCCCGGTTTGCTCTGGCTGTTTGCTGTTCGGCTACCATTCCCCG